TCCTGTAAGCTTTTGGTTTGGCGGTTTCGCCTTATCTATATACTTTCCGACGCTCCAAGACGCCCTAAGCGGCCCCCAAGACAACGCCAAAACGGCCCAAGAGGCCTCCAACGAGGCGCCCCAAGACGGCCTCAAAGCGCCCCAAGACGGCCCAAGAGGCGCCCACGACGGCCGTAGAGGGACCCAAGACGGCATCCAAAGAAGCCCAAGAGAGGAAGCACAAACCGAAATTCTGAACCTTCCGCCTCGAGCGGCCCCCAGGAGGCCCAACGAGGCGCCCAAGAGGCCCCAAGAGGCCGCCAGGAGGCCCCCAAAGGCCCCAAGAGGCCCCCAAGAGCCCCAAGGGGCCCCAAGAGGCTTCAAAACTGCTGCCAAGAGGCCCCCGAGAGGCCGCCGACGATGGCCCAACGAACATCCAATCGGCTTCATACCCACAACCCAGGCACGATGGCGGGATGAGAAGAAGGCTATTGGATAGCTGGACACAATTCGAAATAAATTCTACCAGAGCTCGATCCAGCTCAAAGGACCTCCGACCATAGAATCCTAAGTCGGGCTCGTTCCAACTGCACTAAATCCTACTAGAACTGGAGGCAGCCCTGAGTTATTCCTACCAAGGCTCGATCCATTAAATTAGACGTTGCCCGACGGCGCTGGTGCAGGCGGTCGCCGTCGTCGGTTGTCGCTGGCTGGGGGTGGAAGGGGGATTGCCCCCCACCCCCTGGTTCGACCCCCCCCCGAGCTGCAATTCGGGGGGGGGGGGGGGACTCGGTGAGACCCCCCCCCGTTCGAGCCCCCCATCCTCTAGCATTTCAGGCTCCCCCCCCCCCTGTTCGACCCCCGCCCCGCCTTCCCAGCGTCCACCGAACGCATTCTTTCAGACATGGAGGGCACGAGCTCGAGGAAGGATGCCGAGGTGCAGACGCTGCTGGCAGACAGAAAGTTTCGAGCAGATCCCAGAGGAAGAGACGCTCGAGGAGAGTGGCGGCATTCCAGGAAATAATCAGCTCGACGAGGTAAGGAAGAGGACGAGGTGCTTCAAGTTCTGTCTGGAGCCGAGGTGCCAGCCGTCGTCATAGTCAGGCACGTTCAGAAATTAGACGTCGACGGGATCGCGCGGTGTCAGTGTGGAATACAGTGCAACCTACTCGGTGTCGTGTGCACGGCTTCCCAGGATATCATCAAAGACACGCTGAACAACTGGGCGAAGGAGAAAGTGCCAGAGATGCCGGCGGAGGAGGTAGAGACGACCGAGGTGGTGAACTTCACGATCGACGAAGGGACGGGCTGCGTGGACAGCGGGTGCTCGAAAAACAGCATCGGTCGCCACGCTCTCCCGGTGTACCGCAACCGCTGGTGCGAGGCGAGCTTCGATTATAAGAAGGATGAGAGGGCGACAGTGTTCAGCTTCAGGAAGGGTGACACGCAGAGGTCGTCGGAGAACGCGTGGATTCCCCAGCGGCTGGGATCGAGGCTCACGCGTACATGCGCGCACATCGTGCCAGGGGCGACGCCGCTGTTGCCATCCAAGCGTTGGTCCAAGGATACTTGCGGTCACCTGAGCTTCGAGAAGGACGAGATGACGTTCGCGGCCAGCGGGCAGAGGGTGCGACTGAGGACGAGCGAGGGCGAGGAGGTCGGAAACTACATCCTCGAGCTGTGCTCGCGCCTGGCCTGCGCAAGTGAAAGAAGGATCCGGAGCTGAAAGACGAGCTAGCTGGATGAGCGGGAGCTGAATCCAAACAGGATCTCAGCGTGTCCGAAGGCGCTGGGCGGGGGGAGCTGGCTCCAGTCCCAGGCCCACCTGGACGTCGCTGTGCAAGTGAGCCTGGCGCAACAGCAGATGGGCACTCCAACCCTGGCGACCCAAAATTATCGCCTCTCAAATGGTCCTTCGGGCCCGCCAGTTCGCAGATGTGTCGGTCCTCGCGCGTCCCAACCCAGCTCAAGATCCCACAATCATGGCTCATGGGCGCGGTGTTTGCGAACGCAGCCAAGGAAACGACTCAGGCTGGTTACGTAGAAGCCTCAAGCCCGTCAAACTACAGGCCCATCACGGTCCTCGCCGTTCTATAAAAGTTGTTCAATCGACAAATTTGCAGCAGACTGCGGAAGTATCTGATCTGGGAGCATTCCGTTGACCAGGCGGCATATCACCCATGATGCAGCACCGTGGATCACCTGATTCGCACAACGTTCCTGCATTAGGCCACTAAGGACCGCAATGTTGAGCTGTGGGTTGGCATGGTGGACTTCGAGAAGGCGTTCGACACGGTATAACATGACACTCTTTGGTCAGCGCTAGAGAATCAGGACGTCCTGTCAGCGTACATTGACCTACTAAGAAGGCTGTATGCAATACAATCGGCTACTGTTGCTGCTGGAGCGCGAGGCCACGCGTTCAGCATATCCCGGGGCGGCAAGCAAGGCGACCCGATCAACTCGCTTCTCTCTGTGGTTATCATGGAGCAGATCTTCTGGTTTCTCGAGAAGAGGTGGGCAGCCTCAACGCTAGGCGCACTGGTGAATACTATGGCTTGTCGACGACGCTGCGGACACTCTGAACAACTTGAGGTTCGCCGACGACGTGCTCCTGTTGTCTTCCAACAAGAAGGACGTGGGCCGCATGATCGTGGACCTTCAGATCGAAGCGAAGAAATACGGCCTGAAACTGAACGTGGGCAAACACGTGGTGGTAACCAATTCAGCAACGAGGCCAGCAACTATCCGATGCGTCGGCAAAGACGTGCGAGTGTTACAACCAGGAGAAGCGGAGAAATACTTCGGCCGCAAGTTCACCTTGGACGACTACCACAGGGCGGAGCTGAACAACCGCATCTCGTCTGCATGGGCATTTTTTGCAGCCAGAAGAATATATGATGCAATCGACGAAAAATTACCCTTTCGTGATCGCATAGGCCTGCGCAATGTACGGCTGTTCTGCCTGGACTTTGACAGTCGAGCAGGAGAGGCGACTTCGCGCAACGCAGAGGAAGATGCTGCGACACAAAGTCGGTGTGAGGCGCCAGCCAGACGAGCAGTGGGTGGAATACGCACGCAGGGCAAAAGGCGCGTGTCAGCCCCTCGCAAGGAGACACGGGCTCCAAGACTGGACAGACTTCCTCTGGAAAAGCAAATGGTCGGCTGCCGTCATATCAGGGCAAGATTAACGATGGGGCGCACGGCTGATGAAATGGGTGCCGTGGTTTCGAGTACACGCACGGCGAAGCGTAGGAGCCCAACGCAAACGCCGGTGCGATTGATAATGTGCTCTCTCCTTGTCCACCGTTGATAAATTTGCCCCACGCCACGCTGACCTATTTTCCGGCCCGGCGCACTGCTGGGGAGGAGGACCCGCGCCGCCTCCCTAAGTGCCGCTGCTCTCTCTCTCTCTCTCTCGGTCATTGTTTCTCCCCTTGTTTGGAAATCAGGTCACCCAAAAAGGGTGGTAGGTGGCAGTCGCCACGCTGGCCGGGGATATTTAGACTCTAGCACAATAGACTCCGTCATCAGGAGTGGAGGATGAGTCAGTTGTAGGAGGCGATGGGCAACGATATTTGATCTTCGTCGTAGACACGAGTCATTTGCGAATGGAAACTCGGTCTGCGCTATCGATGGTACGAACCCTACGACAAACGTGACGGGTTCTGGGGCTCCAGTCAAAGACATGCGGACAACAATCCGCGTAACCTAATCATTGTTCAATCAGCTCTTGCGCTTTCGGCTACCTTGCGATGGGCTCCTGGATCGTGTCAGTTGGCTGATGGGATCACGGAGAACGAAGCGAGACCGATCGCCATGATGCCCGCGACGGTACGAGGAGGCGAATATCAGCTGCCCAAGAAGAGTCAGAGCATCTGAGACGGGCCAATGAGGAGAAAAGCCGTCGACAGGAGAGAGGCGGAGAGGCTCAACAACATACAATAACATCGGCAACGGATCTGGCTCAAGAAGTTAACAAATATTCCGTCCCAACGGCGGGTCCCATAGATGAAGTTCGCAGTGAAGCGCTCGGAAACGGCTGTGGGGTGCTTTATCGAGACGCTGCTGAAGAGTAGCGCACCGTCATCATGCAACACACTATGGTAGTTGTCCTGCAACGGAGGCCCTGGATGTACTGATTACTTGTCCTCCAAGAGGATACAGATCCAAGGATCGGCATCGTGTGCCGAGATGGGGGTCGACAACCTGAGCAAGCCAGAATAATCGTACGCCTACTTTTGCTGCACGGGAGATGGTAGTCGGGACGGAGCCCCTGTTCGATGCATTGCCCGAGGAACCGTGGAGCAGCTCGGTGAATGAGGAAAGGGCGACGGATGGGCACCCGAGACTGCAAGACACACACACACAAGGGCACCGTCGGACCCCAGGTACAAGCAGGCCATCAACGAGATTGTGGAATACTGAGCGGAGGCGCTGGAAGAGTTCCCGCTGTGGAAGCCTGAGCTTCTTAAGACGATGACCGAGCAGTTTGAAGCTGGCGAGACCGAAACATACCATGGCGTATGGGAGCTCGGCATGGCCGAGGTTGCGGGGATGCGCTTCCCAGGACGAGGCCGAAGGCGCAGTCGCCAGGACAATGAGTGAGCGTGGCGGTGACTCGGCGAGAGACAGGCAGATGTGACAGGCTGCACGTCAAGGTCGCTTCTCTTTTGATACAGGTTGGAAGCTGCGTCGAACGTGAAGCCTCCCTGCCCGCCTGCGCTGGCCTGTGCCACAGCCGCCATAGCCTTCGTGGCTCAGGCGATCTCTTCGTGGGGCCGCCGGACCGCCATCAGACGGGCGACGCGCGAAACTCGCGGCAAAGCAGAGCAGGATCGGCGAGGCCGCCCATCAGCACCTCCCCACCCCCGTCCCCTCTCCCTGATCCCCCCTTTCAGCTCCTTCTCTCCCGTTCCCCTCCCCCGTGTCCCTCCCTGGACCTCCGTCCCCGTCCCTGCCCCCGCCCCTGCGCCCTGTCCCTCCCGCCCACTTCCCCCCGTCGGGGCCGAGGCGGGCGCCCGCGTCAAGCGCAGGGCCCGCGCCATGCGGAGCATGCGCGCGGCCCGCACGGTCTTGCCGAGCCGGGCGATGGAGGCCGCCTTGGCCTGCGGCGGAAAGCGGCGCGCGGCCACGACGCAGAGGAAGCGGATGCGAGCAGGAGGAGAAGGGTCGGAGGGAGGGAGGGAGGGAGACCGGGGGAAGACTTGCAGTGTACAGCTGCCGCCGAAGCTTCTGATGCAACATCTACCGAGATTGAACACAAAAGGGGGTATTTAATCAGACCCACGAGGTGTGAAGGTCTTAGCCGGCGGTGGACATTCATTTGCAAAGCTGTTGCAAAGAGCCTCCAGATGAGACTTGGTGATAGCGTGTGGCCCGAGAGTGGCAACCAATCGCGGGTCCTGCAAACAAGTGGGACGAGCAATGGCCCAACTGCCGCAACCACCACAGAACATGAATCGACCCTTCCACCACATAATGAAACGGGGAGGTCAAGCATAGAAGCTATCCAGGGGGGTTCCACCGAGCCGGGCTGATATTACTTTCGCCGATTGCCTGTCAGACTGAGGCGATCTAGACCAGCATTCTGAAACTTGGAAAATAGGCATTCCCATTCAGGAGAGGTCTTGAGGGCCGTCCTCATCAAGGACGCGATTGAAAGTGCAACTGCACTGTGAAAGCCCCAACCGAGTGAACCGAGCGAGGTCCGAAGGAGGGAGGGGAATGAACTGGTCCACGTGCCCAAGCGTGGGTGCCGCAAGCTTGTTGTAGAGACACTGACTGAAAGCAATCGGAAGTCTGCCCCGAGCGATGGCGCAGCCTCGTTCAAACCACTTCCGAATGGGCGCGGTCCAACATTCATTTTCGGGGACAGGGCCAAGGGCCAAACCGAGGTGCGTCAAGAACGGCGCAATCTGGAACGACGCCCAAACTGGCAGCTGCTCCTGCAGCCGCCACTCAATGGCGCGAGCGAGCTCCCCGGAGAGCTCCCCGCCGATAGGGGCAACAACACGCCTCGTTACTTCCAGGGTGAACCCTGCGAGGCGATGGCTCAGATCGAAGGGCAACTTCAGCCGGCGAAGCTGGGCAAGCGGGCGAAGGGCAGCGCCCGCGTCGTCGGCGCCGGCGCGGGCGATCCCTCGAGTAGTGGGCCCTGGAACGTTGTCCACGCCGTGGGGGGGCGGGTTCGGAGCGATGGCATAGGTCATCCCTGAGGCTGGGCATCCATGAGTAATGCCACTCTCAATCAAGAAGGCGAAACAGAGCATGCAGCTGGAACGCGCAAAGCACCTCGCGCAGCGGCAGCGGCGCGCCAGGAAATGGGGCCGCGGTGTCGGAATCCGCAAGACCGCAATCTCATCAGAAGCCATTCGCGTGCCATCGATAGGAAGGCCCGGCCGTGGCTCAAGCTGACAAAGATGGGCTTGCGAGGGATGGCCACGTCAGAACTTGCTGACTGCGCGATGTAGATCCTGGAGCGCGCGTCTAACACTTTGATGTTCGCCCCGAAATTGCGCCCCCCGCAAAGCCACTCGGAATGGGAATTGTAAACGAATCCAAATCTGAACTGGGCTCAGGTGGAAAGCTCCTGTCATAATGTTTTTCGATGTGCTTTTCGATCCAAGAGGGCGAACCTGTGCGGGGTCTCCATGAATCTCCATGTCGTCGGAGGCTTGCAGGTCCTTCGTGATGCACACCTTGCAGATGTCATTGAAGGGTGCCATTGGGGGTCCCATTGAAGATCAACCAAAACATCTCGTCGCGTCTGATGCGTCCTTCTGGGCGCCCTTGCCAAGCAGCGAACGGAATTCCGTCCTGGGCCAGGGGCAGGATGATCAAGTCCCTGGATGCACTTCTTCATCACAGCCTGGGCCAGCGGGGGCAATTACAGGAAGTCGGGGGTCGCGCCGGACCTCTCGAGATACCTCTGGGCGCCCGCGGAGCCGCTCGGCGCTGTCGGGAAAACGGAGGGCCACTGCCTGGAGAAGACGCGCATCATGTTGCCTGGTTCCGCGCCGACCCCATCTGCCACCGGCGCCCCGCGAAAAGTGGGCCTCTTGTCGAACGGGCCCCGCGTCCGACTGCGCGGCGACACTGCTCGAGTGCGACGCGCGAGCTCGCGCGCCTGGCTGGCCGGATCCCTCCTGGACAGACTGGCCCTGATCGCAGCCCGCTCGCAATCGGCCATGCGCCGGTGGAGCACAGGCGAGTCCTACGAGAAATCGCACGCGCGCAAGAGGTGAGCCGCGCCCGCCAGGACGTCAACATCGAAGCAGTGCCGAACCAACATGCGCAAAAATCGGAGTCGCCGTGCCGAAACCGCACCCCGTCTCCAAACCGCCCTGCAGATGCCCCAGACTATCAACAACTGTGAATAGCGACTCGGGGCGCATCATTATCGCGGCGTGCCTTGGGGGTGCAAACCCAGCCGCCCCCCGATCAATCCTCGTCTGGCACTGGACCAAAAGCGGGAGGGGCGCGTCCGAGATGTCGCCCAGGGCCCCAACCTTCTCGGCATATCGGCTTCGCTCGGGCTGTCGAAACCAGGTTTCGGGAGCGGCCCCTCGCCGGGCGAGATTGGGGGACTACTGGCCGTGCTGACCACGAGCGGGGCGTGGTCTGAGAGGCCCTTTGAGCGGGGGGCCTCGGGGCGCTTGCTGACCCGGCCTCGAGCAAACAGCCGGCTGCAGACCCTCCCAGGGGGCCTCAGGAAGATTCGATCGCGGTTGTTCAGGGCCCCAGAGCTCTGTTGTAAGGGGTTGCCAACCCGCCCTGGGGGCCTCGATTTCGGTCGCGGAAGCGAGCGCTGGGCTCAGAATCTGGTCCTTGGAGGCTCTCTGGTCGCGGATGACCTTCAGGGGTTCTGCCGAGGACTCTGCGTCTGGCGTCCAAGAGGCCTGGTCTGCTAGGTTCAAGTCATAAGCCACAGCAACCAAGCGCGAAGTGGGAGAAGAAGAGACAGCAGCAAGACGACGACGCATCGCATCGGCCACTTTTCGTCATTCCCCTGCTGAACGCCCATGAAGATGAACGCTACAATGTACTATCCACGTGCCATCTGAAAACTGAATGAAACACTCCGGGGTCCTCCCAGGGACCACACCGTCACGTCGCGTAGTGGCCTAACCGATAGCTTCGAGAAACCAGGTAGAGAGCGACGACACCGCCAGCACGGGAGTCCGGGCAGAAAGAGGAGGCGCGGAAGAAGGTTGAGTTGGCGAGTCCCGCGCGACCCCTGGACCGCGAGGATCGAGCCAGGCTGCCACAAAGAGCTCAGCAAGTCGAGCTTCTGGGAGCGGATGGGGGCCTTACAGTGGAGCAGCGCTTGGACGCTCCAAGTCGCCAGCTTCACGCAAGTCCGCGCTCCCGACCCGACGTGTCGGTGCACTGTTAAAAGAGCGGGCTGCGCACTCCGCGCGGTGTCCGAGGCCTGCTTCTAGCCAGCTGTGACTCGGTCGAGGATGGTCTGCTTGTCGATGCCCAGCGTCCTGGTGAGCTTCGGCGGTGCCTCCCCTGCCTGCGGCACCACGTGCGCCAGCGATTTCCAATGGCACGAGATCTCCCCCTTGTCCTTGATGTAGAAAAGGAGGTTGTGATGATGAATTTCGAGTTCTCGGCGTACACGCTTAGATCCCAGTTCGCGCTTGACATGGGCCATGGTCTTGTCGGCGGAGATATTGGTATCCTGCGTGCTGTTGTCGGGCGCCTGACACTGGAAGCGCTCCCACGTTTTGTCGTGTTTGCGCAGCGCGGCCAATGACTGCTGGACCTCTTCTCCAGGCGTGCGGGATCGTACCATTCTTTCGCAGCGCGTACTTGGTGGCGACGGGTTCGCCTGCCACGACGAGATCCGCGTCGTTGAGCTGAGCTCGGGCCAGCCAGTCGATGAGGGCAGCGATGCCGCCAGCCTTGGCGCAGGAGAACTTGGTGCGGAGATGCAAGATGGTCGGGCCCGTGGTCCATGTGAAACGAGGAGCAGCAGCATCAGGAGGAGGCTTGGCGCTCTAGATGTCGCCCAGTGCTTCCTGCAACGAGCGGATCTGTCCCTCAAGCACGTCGATGCGAGTTTCCTGCGCGAGCTGCTTGTTCTCGATCTGATTGATGCGGTGCTCGATTCGGGTGTCAAGGTCGTCTCAGCTCTTCGTGAAGGTGATCGAGAGCGTCGCCATGAAGTTCTGCGCGTTGCATTGGCGAGGGCTGCGGGCATACTTCTGGAGACGCCCACGTACTCGCGAAGGCTTGCAACATCTTCAGCACTGATGTTTGCTGTCACACGCTGCCACCTGTTCGCGCCCCCGACGGCGGCAAGCTCGGCGACCTACTGCGACGGGAAAGTGAACGCTGACCCGAACGCGGCGAGAAAGGCCAGGCGAGGCGCGGATGCGGCTGCATGGGCCATGCTGCTGTGGAAAGGCCAAAACGGATCCACAGTGCCTGACGCTCCTGCGGAGATCGAACGTGGAGAACCCGAGGGGACTCGGGCCAGCCCCTCGGCTGCGAATCAAATTGGAGCCACGGGGCGATGGTTCAAGCTTGAACCAAAATGGCTACGGACCTCCTCCTCATCCTCTTCCTCCTCCTCCCCCCTCCCATTCCCAATCAAGTGGCCTTAGCCGGCAATCCCTGCGCATCGCACGGGCGGCCACGAGCTCGCCCCCCCTCCCCTCCCAGCCTGCGTCTTCAGCAGCACTGTGAGCCAGTCGATGAGAACCAGCCCCAAGTCCATGCAGAACCACGTCCTGGGATGGCCGAGGGGCGCACACTGCTGGGCGAGCCGGGCAGAGGCAGGGGCGCCCCGCCGCGGCGGGGAGGGGCAACGGGGGAGTGACTGGAGGGACGGGGACGGGTGGGAGGAAGGGTAGGCCCTCCCTACCCTATCCTCCCCTTTCCCGCCCCGTCCCTCCCCTTCCTCCCCGTCATTCATGCCATTCCTACGCGGGGGAGGGGGGGAGAATCTTATGCGTCCCTGCGCGACAACGCAGGCCAAGCCTGACGCTCCCTGTGGTTGCCGCTGGAAGTGCGTAGAAGATTCTGTGTGAAACCGGAGATGGGGGGAGAGGAGCATGACGAAGAAGAGGGAGGAACTAGCGGCCCGAAAAGCGAGGAACCCATGTTACGATCTTAAAGCGCAACGCGTGATATCAAACATGAACCACCACAAACCCCTGTTCAAGGAAGGATGGAGAGCCGGAGGAGGGAGAGGGCGAGATATATAGACGCAAGGTCTGGGGTACTGGACACAAACACTGCGCGGGCATGCTTGAAGGTCACAAAGACCATACAACAACAACTGCGCGAAGACAGAGAGAGCGAGAAGAATCCGGCATTGTCAGCGAGGACCCCAACCGCATTTCAGGTACATGGGGGCCGGACAGGTGTGATTAGATTAGTTAAGACAGTGCGGAGCCCTTTTAACCGCTCCAGCGAATCCTGAAACAGGCTGTCCTGATGGGATTACATTTCTCATCGATGTTAGCGACGGAGAAGGTGACGACGAGCGAGGGGATGAGGAGAGGAAGTGGGGAAACGCAGTAGAGAGAGAGAGAGAAAGAGAGAGAGAGAGAGAGAAAGAGAGAATAGGGAAGGCACATTGGGTGAGGGAATGGGGAGAGGAAGACGACAAAGACATGGGGGAAAAGTACCGAAAAGACAAATAATGGGTACGAACTATGGAGACCGATGCGGCAAATTGCGCGTCCGGTCGGATTGACAAGCGAACACGCATTGAGAGAATGTGCGAGGTGTGCGATTTGGAGAAGTCCGCCGACCCGGCGTGTGAGTTTCTGAGAGCGTGGGCTTGAGTTCGCTCAAACTTCGCTCTGTCGGGGGGGGGGGCTGACGCCATGGCTGACGCCATTCGGGCCCGGGAGGGGGGAGGGGGCGGGGAGCTCGCTCAAGCTTTGCTCTGTCGGGGGGGGGGGAAGGGGCTGACGCCATCCAGGCTCCGGAGGGAGAGGGGGGGGACGCCATGCCATGGCTGACGTCATGCAGGCCCGGGAGGAGGGATCGGGGGATGGGGGGGGAACTGACGCCATGGCTGACGCCATTCAGGCCCGGGGGGGGGGAGGGGGCTCTCAGGCCCGGGCGGGAGGGGGGAGGGGGGGGGGAGCTCGCTCAAGCTTCGCTCTGTCGGGGGGGGAGGGGGCTGACGCCATACGCCATTCAGGCCCGGGGGGGGGGGGGGGGGAGGGTTCAGGCCCGGGAGGAGGAGTCGGAGGGGGGGGGGGGCTGACGCCATGGCTGACGCCATTCAGGCCCGGGAGGGGGGAGGGGGGGGGGAGCTCGCTCAAGCTTCGCTCTGTCGGGGGGGAGGGGGCTGACGCCATAGCTGACGCATTCAGCCCAGGAGAAGGGAGGGGGGGGGAGATTCAAGCCCGGGAGGAAAAGAAATGCGGGGAAAGGGGCGGGGGACGCCATGGCTGACGCCATTCAGACCCCAGGGGGAGGGGGGGGGGGGGGGGGGCGAAGTTCGCTCAAGCGTCGCTCTGTCGGGGGGGAGGGGGCTGACGCCATAGCTGACGCCATTCAGGCCCAGGAGGCGGGGGGGGGGGGAGGGGGTGCCATGGCTGACGCCATTGAGGCCCAGGAGGGGGAGAGTCGGGGGGGGGGGGGGGGGAAGCTGACGCCATGGCTGACGACATTCAGGGTCGGGAGGACGGGGGGCGGGGAGCTCGCTCAAGCTTTGCTCTGTCGGGCTGTCGGGGAAGGGGGGGGCTGACGCCATGGCTGACGCCGTTCATGCTCGGGAGAGGAGAGGGAAGGGGGGAGGGCCGACGCCATGGCTGACGCCATTCACGCCCGAAGAGGCCTCCAAGACGGCCCAAGACGGGCCCAAGACGCCCAAGAAGCCCCAAGGAGGCCCCCCAAAAGCCCCCAAGATATTCAAAAACTTCCTCCAGCGCGCTCCGAAGAAGCCTCCAGGATGCCCCCCAAAAGCCCCCAGGAAGCCCAGGAGCGCCCCCCAAAGGTGTCATACATCAGCTACATCAACATCCCATGAGTTTGGCTGTTCACGAGAGACTGCTACTTTTGAATATTGAAGGTTGCCCAAGCGAGTTCAACATGTCTAAATTATGAGGATGTCTCGAGCGAGTGCTCTACTTTGAAACATAGAAGGTCATCCACTGCAAGCAGAATCGGCAACACCCCAGATCGGCGGCACTGGCCGGAGGCCACTAAAATGTCTCCACCAACCATGCAGGACAGATTAATTCAGGGCTGCAATTCCACTGAAGGAACGGCCACTCGAAGCGAGATACGCGCTTTTCTTTGCGCTCTCGCGCCACCCTCTGGGCAAATCTCTGACCCACCAAGCGCTACCACAACGAGTGGCTTAGACAACAACATAATGTCCAAAACAAGTGTTCCGATAGATCGCACCGGCAAACCAACGAAAGCATCAAGGATACCTAAAAGAAACCTACGGACAACCAGAAAGAAACCAGAGGAACATTTTTGAAGCAGTGAGGAAACCACGGCACAACCAAACTCAAACAAAACCTTCGGACAACCACAGAAAGCCTGAGGACCATCTAAAGAAAACGAACAGGTACCCTGAGGAAACAATGGAAAACCGAACGTCGACCATAGTAGACATCTGGTAAAACAGAGAACTTTCGGAACACAGAAGACCCCCCTGGACGACAAGAACAACCCCTTGACAACTAGCGAACACTCAAAAACAACCATCGGTAATACCCGTACAACCAAAACAAACCTTCCGATGACCAACCACTACATTCAACAAACAACGACAACACCTACAACTGCACATCTAACAACACCGGCCGTTACCATAGAAACCACAAGAGAAAAACACAGAACGCAGCCGGAAAACCAGAAAAAGGCCTGCGGACAACTTAAAGGACAACAGGAGAGCACCCTCAAACAACAATCTAACTCACTCGAAAAAAAACGATACAATAGCAATACGACCACCCTTTGGGTGATAATGAGGTTGTTTGGGGGGGCAAACTGGTGGCAACTGCGACGACTGTGATGGTGACGACCTCACCGTCGATCTCAACGCCGTTCTCACTATCGATACCACGATCTATTGGCCTCACCGCCGATCTTTCGATAGACGCCTCCTAGATGGGGTCAGAGTAGATCGGGTCGGAGGACCGCGCCGCATCCCCGATGCATCGAAATCGAACCCGAAACCGCACGCACGACGTGAAATCGAATCTGACTTCCAAGTGGAGGGTTCTCCGTTTTGTGAATCAAACTCATTCCCCAGGAATGTAAGAGGCCCGAGAGGGTTCCCCACAGAAGCCTCGAAGGCCCTGTGGTTTCATTCCTTGCTCTCTTTCTCCATGCCTGTATTTATCCCTGCCGCCGCCGTTTTTTCTCGAATAAGGACCTTGGCCTTAGAGCTACGTGTACCTCTGCCGCGCAGAGCGAGAAACCATTATCAGCGATAATATTCCCTATCACAGCGGTAGCTGTGAGCGAGTCTCAGCTGCCTGGCGCCGCGCGCCATGCCATATCCAGCGACGACGAAGCCGTCGCGAGCCACGGAATCGACGCCCAGCGGCGTCCTGCGAGCCCTCATCGGCTTGAGCTTCGCGCTCAACACCGCCAGCGTCAGCGACGCCAGCATCTACGCCTACCCTGTCAATCCCAACGCCAGCGTCAGCGACGCCAGCACCTACGCCTCCAACGCCTACTTTCCCAACGCCAGCGTCAGCGACGCCAGCTACTACGCCTACCCTGACTTCTCCAACGCCAGCGTCAGCGACGCCAGCATCAACGCCGACTTCTTCTACGCCAGTGTCAGCGACAATAGCGACTACGCCATTAACGCCTACTTCGCCTACGCCTGTGTCAGCGACGCCAGCGACTACGCCTTCAACGCCTACTCCCCCTACGCCAGTGTCAGCGACGCGAGCGAGTACGTTTTCAACGACAGCTACTTCTCCTACGCCAGTGTCAGCGACGCTAGCTGCTTCTCCTACGACGGTGTCAGCGACGCCAGCTACTTCTCCTTTAACGCCAGTGTCAGCGACGCGGTCTACTACTTCATCCTCGACAAATGACAAATAATTGCGCGTGTAGCGTCATTCCTACCTGGAATGGCGACCCATCAAAATGGAGAGACTACAAACAGGAAGTTCAGCTCTGGAAGCTCAGTGAGACCCTCGCCGTGGCGCACAGTCTCGCATCGAAGCTCGTGCTGAAGCTCAGCGGGACAGCCCGGGGTGCAGCACTCCACATGGCGGAGGCGCAGCTGCATCCTGCAGCCGCGGCGGACATCGAAGACCCCGACGACAAGAAACGCAACAGGAACCAGGTCGGCATCGAGAACGTGCTACAGCACCTGGAGGCGAGCTTGGGTCAGCAGACGTCCGTGCAGAAAAGCGAGACCCTCGAGAAGTTTCTCGAGTCGACTCAACATCGCCGACGCAGAGATGAACGCGCGACGGATTGGCTCGTCCGTGTCGAGACAGGGCTGCAGCAGCTACGCGAGAACGAGGTGGACCTCAACGCGCTGGACGACGTGGCGGGATGGCTCCTGCCGCGCAAGGCCGGGCTCGGCGCCGCGAGCGTGTCGTGGGCAACTTGCCCGACGAGCACTACGGCTACCGGCGTGTCCGCGGGCTGCCGGTCAGGATGTTCCCGGACATCCATGCGTCGGGGCGCCGCGCCCCCCCGCCAAGGTCATGGGCCAACCAGTCGCGCTCACAAGGCGGCTGGCGCAGCAACGTTCCCTCCAGCCGCGGGTGGCGCTCCACCGACG